TTATCGAGAGTGTAAATTGCTGTGATTTATAGCATGTATTATAAAAGTAGTTAAGTTTAAAGTAACGAGAAACGTACTGATTGTGAAATTACTGTGTATTAAAAGTTTGTATCGAGAAAGAATAAACTGGGTCAATCAAGAAGGAACTTGTATCGCTGAAGTTCCTCGGAAAGAATTTATACCAGAAAGTAACAAACATGCAGATATGTAACAGTATGTAATTTGATGTTTTTTATCGAGATGTTTTATTGTACATTTATGGGTAGTTTTGAAATTATTGCATTTTCTGTTTTCTGTACTGGGAATTGTTCAGACAAACATCTGATAGAAACCCAAAGTGATTTCCTTCTTTCATACTGTACAGTATCATTTATGGTTTTTTTCCTCATTCTCATATGTATAAATTACTTAAAAAAATAGTTTTCTTCACATGTGGAGCTGGGCAATTGGTGATATTTGCTCATCAATTTACCAATGGACCTGAATGTTGTATGTACAAGAAAAAAAAGGTTGATAGCAGGTACAGGTGCTGCCAAACAGTTCCCTTCCACCCCTAGTCAGTAATTAAATATTAATGATGGCGGCAGATAGCCTCAGTAGCTTTGCTGTAAGAGATATTATAATATAATAATCAGAAACGCTAACTTTGATTAGTTGATTATTTTTGTGGCAATCAATTTAATTATAATTTAGATTAATTGATTGTTGGAATAATTGAAAATAGTAATAATTGTGAACTTTAATTTTGATTCATTGATTTAACTAATTTCAGTTAATCATTTTATATGTAGAGTTTATATGTATGTGTAGGTTTTTTTTAATATTCATATTTACCTAAACCATATTTAACAAATTGTCATTTTCTAAGTTTAAACGGAATAAACATTTCTTTTAGGGCCAGAAAAATTACTTTTTAATGTTATGTTTCAATAAGTTGGGCAACTTTTTTTTTCCAATCACATTTTTCAGAGAACTGCAGTCTCTTAATTTGGAACATGGAGTAAGAAACAGAGCAAGATCTGCAGTGATTATTAGATCCTAGTAAGTACAAGTCAGTGAATTAAATCTACAAGCATAGAATTATACACATTGAACAAGTAACTTTTATTGTGAAAGGTGCTGTAGGGCCTTAAGATAATTATATTTTTGGATAAATAACCTTGTATTGCTTGCATGCTAAACCAACATGTATAGTTACTAAACTGTGAAATATGCCTTGCAGAAGTTATGAATGTCATGCTTAGAGCTTAGTTCTAATTTTTATTAAAATCTAATTTTTGTGTGTAGTATCTGCATTTTTGTTTAATTAAAAATTTTATGATCATTAAGAAATTTGTTGAAGATCAAGATATATTTATATCTCAGCTAAGAATAATACTGTGCTATCAATCAGCAAAAGGCAATTTTCACCAAGTAATTTCAATCTGGAGAGGTTCTTGGAAGAAAGGAGGGACAGTGAAGAAAGAAACTTCAAGATATTGCAGCAGGTTGACAAGCTTGAGCAGCAGGCAATGAACATAGAGAACAGAACTCAGAGGTTAAGGTCTTTAAAGGTAAGTAAAGATCACTGTTAGACTCACAAAAATTAAATCCATCTTCCCACTTTTTTGGAAAGATGGATGCAGTTCATCCATTATTTGAGAGGGGGATCCTAATATTGCAGCAGGTTGACAAGCTTGAGCAGCAGGCAATTAATGTAGAGAACAGAACTCAGAGGTTAAGGTCTTTAAAGGTAAGTAAAGATCACTGTAAGATTCAAAAAATTAAATCCATCTTCCCTCTTTTTTGGAAAGATGGATGCAGTTCATCCATTATTTGAGAGGGGGGATGCTGTTTTTCATACTTTTATCTGCACTGTTATTTGTTTGGAATGGTAGTTTTGGAAGGGTTGAATTTTGCTATTTCATCTGTGCATTGGATAATTTAAACAGTTCATGTTTTATTTTCTTTAAAGAGTCTAACCCTGGTAAAGAAGTAAGAAGTCTGTCAAAAACAACAGGCTTTTTTTTTCTTTCAAACTTTCAAAGAGATACAATGTTGAAACTGTTAATGTAGTATGACAAAAAGAATATGTAAAGTATTTTTAAATTAATTTTGAACAGGCACTGTTTTTCACCTGTTACTCTGGACTGCCGAAAATAAGATTCTGTCACTATGAAATTCTGTTTATTATGAACCTAGCTGACTTTTGAAGTGTTTACATAATTTTGAAAATTTTTCATGGATAAAACTACGATCTTAACTCAATCAGTGCAATCATAATCTGTGAGCATTAATTACATTGACCAGTGTCATGTAAAATTACTGATTGACTGAAATTACAGTTAAACCAATTAATGTTACAAAACTAACCAACTGTTGAAATTCGTGTTTCTAATTATTACTGTTTTCAATAATTTCAGTTATCCAAGTAATCAACATGTTACTATTATGATTTTTTTTTTTCAATTGATACAAGGTTGTCCAGCACTGGGCTGGGATGGCCTGGTGATTAGAATGGTTGCCTTATGAATTCAAGAGTTGTTAATTCAATTCCACTTGCCACCAACCATGTTTATTCTTTTAATCTTGAGGGTTTTATAGTTGTTTCTTTGTTTTTGAGTTATGGCAAAGTTTTAAGGCTATCTGCCACCATCCTTAATTTTGAACTACTAACTTCGGAGCTACTACTTTTACGAATAAATCATGTGATTGTCCATAACAATACAATGCTCTGTGGTTGAAAGGGCAAACATGTTTGGTGGCACTAGGTGTCAGATCTAGCATCCCTCAACTTATAAGGCAACCACCAGGTCATGACAGTCAGTGGGCATTATAATGTGATGGTCAGTCCTATTCATTGGTAAAGAGTATCCCAAGAGTTAGTAGTGGGTACTGCCAACTGGTTGCCTTCCCTCTGGTCAACAGCTCAAAACTAGGGATGGCAGCAGAGAGTCTTAATAAATTTGCCATAACTCAAACTCGTTCAACTTCTGATACCTGAACTCCACATAACATTTTAGCTAGTACAACTTCTGATGGCATTATCATGCAAGATGATATGCATGTGTTCTGCTTGTACAAAACTAACAAATGTGATGGTGTGGCCTAGTGGCCAATGGTTGCATAACTAGCCACACTGATGTCTTTTATTTGTTGAGGCTGGACAATATTGTAGCTTTACCTTAATATGCTGCTTACTTATTACAAGGTAGAAATTTAACCAGCATTACTTAAAGTAAAATTGCTTTAATAAAAAGTTTAATAAAAAAAATCATGGCAAGTTAATATTTATTATTCTTTATTTGCTCAAATAAAATTGCTGATTACTAAATAACTTTTGTTCTTTAACAGTGTTTCTCAGAACTTATTAGATGAACTAATAACAGCCTAACAGTATGTTACATTGTTAAGTTGCTACCCTGTTTACATGATCAGGACTCCTGTATAATTACTGCTTGCTCTAGCTAGATAGCAAGCATTGAAAATGGAAAACAAATGTCTAGCTGTTGTTAGATGCCACTTAAACATCAACTAGTATAGCTGCCTTTTTTGTTTGCTTTGTTAATTTCTCAGTGTGCATGTGTTCCCACAGTTTTTTCCAGCCTGTACTGTAAAATGTAAATGTATTACTCATTTTGATTGTTTTTTTCTAAACTTCTGTCCATATCATCATCTTCTCACTTAAAAGCGTTTCATGTTTTTTAAACTTATGAGATTATTAGTTACTTTTTACATTTTTCTACCTGATAATTAGAAAATCTCAGGTAATTAAAATTTTTTTGGTATTACCATATTTTGTTATTTCATATAAGACATTGATTTTCACCTTACGAGTCATTTTAGTCTCTGCAAAGTGGTTATCTACTCTAGTATCATCACAAGTTTTTCTTGCCAAATAATAAATGTTGTATTGTCTTTGTTTTTCTAGTGAATTTTTTTACTGAATTGTATATTGTATATCATAAACTGTGACAAGAATCTTGACTTGTCTTATCGCATGAAATCTATGGACAATTACTTATAATGATATATTATTCATATTTTCTGCTTCTTACAGGTCTTGAACGTCATTGATGTACCTGATATATTTTCATTTACAACATGGATAAAAAATAAAGAATATAATGACACATCTAGATAAACGTTTTCTAGTTTTGTGGACTTGTTAAGCAAACACCCTTCATCAGGCAGTAAAGACTATTACTGAGGAATTAGGCTCAGTTGTACAAAATAAACTAGAAAAAGTTTTCATTTAGATGTGGCAATTTATTCTTCAATATTTATTTTTTTTACTCATTCAAGAATTCTTGTACAACAGTTTAGGATTGAAAAAATAACCTAATTCTAATGTTACATATCTGCTTTTTTGTTAATTTCCAGTAGAAATTATTTCTGAGAAACTTCAGCGATACAAGACCTTTCTTGATTAAACTAGTTTATTCTTTCTCGATACAAACTTTTAGTACACAGTAATTTCACAATCAGTACATTTCTCGTCACTATAAAATTAACTACTTTTATAATACATGCTATCTTGAAACAGAATCGTAAATTACCCGCAACTCAAGTAACTACCGTTCACTTTTCCAACACCTGGCTTTTTTCT